CTTTTCCATTCTCTCCATATAACCCGAACACACCTCCCTGAAGCAAAGGACAGCAGCTCTCCAACCAGTCAGACCTGAGTTCTCACCCTAAGTGCTCAGTGCTCGCTGTTCTGCCAGGTGTCTGCACAGTGTAGACCAGCGAAGGCACCTGATCCACATGTCTGCTTACTTTGCTCATGGCTTCTTTCTACATGCAGGTCAAGCATTGCGGCTGTGCTTCATTTATGGGGTCTATGGCTTTAAACCATGGGAGCCATAGTGCAGCCCCTGTGTTTGTCATGGAGATTCCGAATCCGTTGCTGTGCAGAATGGATAACTATCCAGAAAATCCTTGGCCGAGCCACCGCTGCCTTTCCCAACTCTATCGGAGACTGCGTCAAATGCTCCTTGGATCAGGGTTGTAGCATGCTCTGCACCCTTCATTCCCTATCTTTTCGCCACCCCCCCCCCCCGCCCCGGTATAAGGCCGTACATTGAAAAACCTCATGAACCTTTGCCGTCAAAGCAAAGGCTCTGCAATGCTCTTGCCGCCCACGAACAAATCTCCTCAGCAAAACGCGAAGCAGCCCTTCCGTGCTCATCTCAAAAGCTCGACGAATAATCAACTTACTCTGTACATCTCTTGACCTCATGCTACACATTGCAATTGCACAGTGCAGCACACCTTGCAAGCATCAGCAACAACCACATCCTGAAAAACCCGGCACCAGCACGTGAACCAGCTCGCCTCAATCTCTCTGCCCGAGGCTCCGCTATCATGAAAGACGAGGATGAGGCTGGTGAAGAGCTTGACCACTTCTGTCCAAAAAACCACCGTGCTGGGCAGGTACTCCTGAGCTGATGGAACAAAGCTATAACACCTTTATGCGTGCTTGTCTGGGTCCAGGCAGCATTGCCCAAAAAAGCATTGTTTTGCGGTTTCAGGCAGCCACATTTTCCACTACGAATCAAGCTAGGACATGGATGATTGAGTTTCAAACGCCTGAACAGGTGGGGTCCTTCCGCCCCTCAGCATCCGCCCACTTGATGAGCAAGGCTTGGCCGGTGGTTTGGAACCTCAGACGACTCATGCCCGGAAGAGCTAGGAGCATGAGGAAGCAGCTGAATCTGTCCAAGTGACGTTAGAGAAACTAGGGAAAGCCACTTCATCGGGACTCCAAAAAGCGAAGGGTCCTTCAGGAACAGTAGCTAGCTCCCAGAAGCTGCATCTGGCGCAAGAGAGAAACAAAACCTTCGATCTGCTGTGGGATCTCAAAGCTTCACGGCTAAGATCAGAAAAGATAAAAACAATTCTAAACAACCGTCCTTGGAGGTATTCTCCCTGACTGGTGGAGGTGGCGGTGGCGGTGGCATTGTGCTGAGGAGTGACCCCTCTTCATCCTCCTCGGCAGGAGGGGAGAGATTCACAGCAGCTTCACCTCAAGCCATAGATGTCAAACATGGTATACTTACTGGTGGTTAGTAGGGAACAGGGGAGTATAATATAATCTCTATATTAATCCCTGTATACTACTACAATCCCTAATATACATATATATATTTATTTATTTATTCATTTATTCCCATATTCCCTACGAACCACCAGTAAGTATACAAGTCTGGCAGGGAGACCTCGAAGGTCGTAGACACGCCGTCCACTTCATCATCTCTTGTGCCAGCTCCGATCTTCTGCCCTGGTCAACAACATTGAGGATATATTGGGTTATATAGGGTATATATTAGGGTATGAATATACATATATACATATATACACATATATATATATATTAGCTACTATACCATATTGAGGTTATATTTGATGGAACAGAAACTGGAAGCTACTATAGTACATTGGGGATATATTGGGATACTGGAAAAGAAAATGGAAGCTATTATAGTATATTGGGGTTATATTGGGATAATGGAAAAGAAAATGGAAGCTACTCTTGTACAATAGGGTACTGCCATCACGAGACTGCAAGAGGTGTCCAGCTGCCTTTGGACTCGCCGTCGGCGACGCCCAAGCTTGCAGGGCGTTGGCTGGAGCCATGCATGAAGTCTGAAGCTCTGTCTCAGAAGTGTATTTCTTTCATAACACCTTCTTGCTTATAGGCCTGCTGCGCCTCAGGGTGATAAATCACTTGGCTGGGAACCCTAAACCCCAAACCCTAAATCAGGGGATACCAAAGCTCAGAAAAGCTCCTTTGGGGTCCACCTTCGGTTTCCAACTACGGGCTCTCTTGTAGATGCATGCTGGGAAGGAAGCGTGCGAGAGCCAACTTGCATCTGTCTGGATCTTTTCCATTATCCCAATATAACCCCAATATACTATAGTAGCTTCCATTTTCTTTTCCATTATCCCAATACAAAACCCCAATATACTATAGTATGGAAAGCAAACTGATTTTATGCCCAACTGTTCTTTCGTGTAGAGCCGAAAGATCGCAGACCAGGACCTTCAAATGGGAGGGGGTTCGCTTGGGGACCCCAAGGGATTTGTAGGGATTGTAAGGGGGATATTGGAGTCCTTAGTAGGGATTTGTTCTGAGCAATACCCAAACATTTACTTTAAACTTCAAGCTTATAGCAGCCCCTATATAACTCAGTATAGTAGTTTCCATTTTATTTTCCATTATCCCAATTTTTCCCCAATATAACCCTCAAAGGACCCCAAACATTCCTCCTAAACCCTAAACCCCAAAGCGCGTGTTGACCTCTCAGGTTCAGGCTTACCGTTGGCGTGGTTGTCCAGACACTGTCGCCAAGCTGCAATGAGGGATCCATACTTTCCTTGGCCAATACGGGGGTTTCCCAGAACTAGGGGGACCATTTTAGCCGTCCAGTAAGAAGAACCAGCATCTATTGGGGTCTATATATTGGGATCCCCCTATTTATGGAAACTACCATGCCAACATCAAGAATGATGACTGCAGAAGCACGCCTTTCCTGCTGATGTCAAATCACTTTTGTGTGTGTGTGTGAGCCTGGTCTGCAATGGAGTACATTAACCTAGCATATGGTAGTTTCCCAAACTAGGGGTACCCAAACATAGACCCCAAAATACTATAGTCCTTACTATAGGGATCCCCCAAAAAAGTACACCTAATTTTGGGACCCTACACCCTATATAACCCTATATAACCCACATAACCCCGAAATCCCCTTTCAAGGGTACCTAATTTTAGGAAACCGCCATGTCTTTCTTAGCGCGCTGCGCACGCAGAGGTCTTGGAAGTCCTCGATGGTGTTGAGGCTGTATGCCGACCTAAAACACCATTGAGGCCATCTATGGGCAACACGCGGTTTAGGGTTTAGGGTTTAGGGAGAGGGCTGCTACAGCCGCCTGCTCTCGACTTTCTAGGGTTCCGGGCGGGTGGGCTACGCGGCAGGCCTTCGCGAACTCCTTCCTGGCACGGCAGTGCTGCCGGCTTCAGAAACCACATGAGCTACAGTCAATGTTTCCTACAAAATAAAGTGGCCTTGGGTTCCTGAAGAAAAGGGACTATATGAGGAACTATACTAAACTGCGAGAGGGACCCTTGTGTCCAGTGTTCAGGGTTGCTTAAGAAGGCAAATATTGACAGTAGCTTACACAAAAAACTGAACTGTCCATCAAGAATGATTTGCTGCCTTCGGGAAGCATCCGCTGCTCTTCGTATCTGGTAGAAGAAGCCTGCCTCATCAGAGCTCAGGATTTTTGTTCAGGCAAGAGCTGGGATTTAGGGTTTAGGGTGTAGGGTTTAGGGTTTAGGTTTTCGGGTTTAGGGTTTTGTTGCACCAAGGCCTGATTCCGCTGCAGGAAAGTCAGCTCCAACGGCGACTTCCCTTGGTAGCCTGGAAAATTCGTTGTTGTACCCATTGGGGTAATATTGAGGTTATATTGGGGTTATATTGGGATAATGAAAAAATAAAATGGAAAATAAAATGGAAACTACGTGAAACTACCAGCATTGGCATATAGGGGCTACTATGAGGATCCATTCGGATGTCCAAGCCGGTGTACCAAAGAGTCCAGGCCTTGACCAGGTTCGCTAAGCATGCGGAAGTCCCCGCGACCTTGAGCAGCATCATACAGTTTGTTTTGTTTTTAGGGGTTTAGGGTTTAGGGATTAGGGTTTAGGGTTTGGTGATTAGGGTTTAGGGTTTATGGTGAGCCATTGTCAGGAAACTGAGCCAACAGCTGAGTGCATGGAACGCCTTGGTGTCGAAGTCCCGGATCGTCATCAACGTTCGGCCTATCCCAAACATTGCAAAGGAGGTTGTCCACTTCGCCAAGGTTTTTTCTTCAATGCCAACTGCCCGCAAGTGGCTTGTAGGGGCAGCGCGGTAGTATACTTCTCCCTCTTGCTGTGTGATTCTCTTAATATTAGTGCCTGCACAGTTCCGCTGGACAACCGTGGCCTGTCAAAGCACCTACTCCCAGTTTGGCCACCGCACATACTGAACTTGCACGTACAACTTGTTGTAGAAAGTTCTGGCTGCACAAAGCTATACACCCCAATGTAAAAAAATCACGGTCTCTGGATCAACCCACCCTTCTGGCCGGAAGACCTTATAGAGACATATGCCCACTCAACCACCTGCATCCGGCTGCATCCGCTTGAAGAGGTCCTTCGCATTTCCGCTGAAGCCTGCATTGCATCTCATGAACTTGGCAGCTTCATAAAACAGTGTGTCTCTTTGGCTACTTGTTACTCCACATGGATCCTGTATTCAAGAGACACCCAGGCCTTCCGCGATCTTGACAACTCACTAACTCATTATATTATAGTAGTTTCCATGTTCTTTTCCATTATCCCAATATTAACCTCAACATAACCTCAATATTACCCCTACATATTATAGTAGTTTCCATTTTCTTTTCCATTGTTCTATATATGGAAGTACAGGTTTGAAGCTGAATGAAATAACCATCTTCCTCAGCCCTCGGGCTTCGACACGGGCAGAAGAAGCCACCCAATTTAGAGGCTCATCACAATGCCACGCTGAGTTCCGTTTGCCTACTGGGAATACGATTTCGAACCTCTGCTTAGGCAAGCTAACAGAGAATGCAGAGCCCATGAAGAGCTTGCTTGCCCATACTGGGGACGAGGTGGCTCACGACAGCCCGACGTCCAGTGTCTTACCCAAAGTAAAAACGGCGAAGCTTAGCCACCCCTGCCTATTTTGCGGCAGCATTGGACGAACTGCTTCTCTGCAACCAGGCCAGTGCCCTCAGCTCTCAAGGCCAAAGGTGCTCTTGTACATTGAGCGGGTTCTAGACTGCTGGCTTCCTTTCAAGTGGGCTATAGGCTCGAAGTCAGGGTTTCTCTTGAATGCGACGCAACTGTGGACTCAAGACTGCGACTGAGATCTTCTTTGCCTCCTTACACCCTAAAACCTGTAACCCAGTCCATGGCCTGAAAGTCTTAGTAAAGGACTCGTGTGTCGAGGCCCTTGATCCAAGCCATGAGCATGTTCTCGTACTCCTCCGTATGAGCTACAGTCAATATTCCCCATAAAATCCATGGAAAATCAAGTTGAAAATGAAAATGAAACTGGGATTGCACAGTCGATTAACATTTCCAATATAATCAATCGACGTGGGTTCCTTATGACGGAGTATGTTAGGGACTATACTAAACTACAATATTGATATTAGCTCACACCAAATGCAGCCTTGAGCAATTCGGCGGCTTCTAGGCTCAATACAAGTCGATTGCTTCTGAACCCAGCCCACCAAAAACCCTACACCCTAAACCCCTAGTACTGGTAATTATTTAGGCCCCTATCATCATAATTTCCTTCAAGCAACCCTTGACAGCCGGTCCTGGGTCAGCTTCTCTCGCAACTCTGAAACCATGGCATCAGTCTGCGGATCCAGGTCCCTGTGCCAAACAGGAGTTCCCCAAGAGAAGCGCGCACTGGCAGGTAGAAGTTGTATTGCATCATGAGCAGGATACTGCAGTGGCGCCACTCTCATTTCGACTGCAAATGGGGTGTGAAGGCTGCTCTGGGTGCATTTACTGCAGCAGTTGGCTACTCGCACTGGCCTGAAGAAGAGGAAGCCTGACTCGTCGCTCCGTTTTGTGAGCTGA